GCTCTTGCAATATTTCGCAATCAGCGAAGACAGCACTAAATTCTCGGTCACCCACTTCTTTGCGATATTTCCCAACCACTCGGCCTCAAATTATCGGCCTACCATTCAGCTATCACCTTCTGCGATGCAGAGTTAGCAAAAACAAATTCTAAACCCAATTCCCACCTGCAGCCCGCACCTGCTGGAATGCAGTCACAGCAAAAACACTTCCTCAACTCCACTGACTCACTAGCCAATTGTCAACGAAGCACCAAGCTTCGACCCACTTACCATACCCCACAATTAATGTCACCAATCATAAGTTAGCAATAATTAATTATTTCTGGGTCAAAGACAGACCGTGGAAAATCACGGTCTCAGGTGCGATCGCCAGCTGCTTAAAAGGGCCAAGATCGGCCGAAGAAACAGGCAGTCTATTAGCCCGAACACAAGACACTACACTAGGCAGTCCATTAGCCCGAACGCAAGACACTGCACTGGGCAGTCCACCAGCCCGCAACACAAGTAGCAAAACAAGCAGGTTCTAAATTGTAAACAAACCAGCCAAGCCAATAAAAGAATTAAAATAATCAACAAAACCAAAACAAAACGACAGAAGTTCTTGAGTCATATAATTTCCTAGATTGCCTACCATTCTTTCGGTCATACAAGGCCAGCCCCAAACCTTAAGTTCCACCAAATCTACAAATTTCTTGTTGAGGCTGATGTATATCCCAGCCTGAAATAATGTATCTTACAGTACAATAAACTGTGAATATATTAACTGACCAATCATCGTCTCTTTAATAACCTCGCAAAACAACGCTACTGAAAAAGCTCATTAGCTCAACATTTGGTGACCCCGACGTGATATAAACATAAGCTTGTTAAATTTTATCATAAAAAACATAAAACTTGTCGTTGGATTAATTCGCTTTGAACCACGGATTTTCGGTTCGTCGTTTGTGCACAAGCAACAGAATTGGTTCTCGCGTCATCTGCTTTGCGGTCTGCTTGCTTGCTGTTGTTTCGTTTCGGTTTCGTGCTTTCAGTGTGCATGCCTTTGTTATTGTCGGATGCACAAGTGCAATGCGTTTGAAACTGTAAGCTCTCGCTGCTGGTCTGAAAAACTGTAAGCCCGCGTGTTTGAAGGGCTTAGTTATATCTATTATATCTATTGTGCAGTTAGGTAAGACTGTCGGAGGTTATTCACCGGCTGTTAACCTCTACATTCTCTTAGTGACTGTAAAACCCAGTGTTTCTACTGAACATAGCCGATTAGGTGTGGGACAACGCGTTGCTTCCTTGCAGCGAATCTGCAGGTATCAATGGAAGGAACAACGCTCCAACAACAACAAGCTTTGTCTGCTGAACCCTTTATGATGTTGAAAGAAGTTTGTTAAAGACCCGTGCTCTTCAACGGAGGGAGTATGTTTGGTTACGCAAACAGTCCAAATCGTGGACTTAAATAGATAGATTATAGCCAGTGGTGCAGCAGAAGAGTAAATCCTTATTATTGTTCGTTGTTTGCACTGCCCACTGTACTAAATTGGCATCTACCTACAAACATATGTACACATTCATGCTCCCGCACGGCAGCATGCCTATGCAGCCGTTCTCTCGTGTCTTCATCTTGGACCTTCTTTCTATCGCCTTTCGCTATCACGTTATCACTCTGTCGATCTGTCGCTCTCGCTCGCATTAGGGCACGGGCAATTCGGCCAGCTTGCCCTTTGATTAAGTCTTGATCTTGCAATCACTTCTTGAACATCGTCTTGGAATCGAGCTGTTCAATTCGACACCGTCTTGAACCGACCCCGCATCTTCAATCTGACCCCGTCTTGAATCCAGCTAACTATCAAACGGACTCGTCTTGCTCTCGACATCAACCTAACTCGAACCTTTTGCTATCCCTTCGACTCTGTGCCGCCTTATATACTGTCTACAACAATAAACCATATTTTATTTGAACAATCGTCGTCTTTTTAATAATATCGCAAAACAACGCTACCGAAGAAGCTCAGTAGCTCAACAGAATGAATGAAATGAAGAGCTGATTTCGATTTCATTTAAATAATCATATTGAAATTTGAACTATCTATGTTTTATTATCACTCTGAAGTTGATCTAAAGGTGTTAAATTTGGGGCGAGACGAGGTTCACCGGGACCGCTAGTATTGAATATAAGCCGAAACGAAGCACAAGTGCTCTAATCAAAATTAAGATCCTTTTAACGGATGAGTTGCCAACATGCGAGGCGCATGACACCATGCGATCAAAAAATGGTTTACGATCAGGTGCAAGAGTAGCTGGATGAGAAAATTATCAGGTCTAGCTTGTCAGTTGGCGTCAGTTGTCACAACATTGGATTTGCCCAATGCATTGTCCCATGCGCCAAGTACGTTCCCTTTGGGATATCAAACTCGCCAGCAGTTTTTACCAGATTCATAATGATGGTAATGCGAGAGATGATCCTGAGTGGCGAAGCTGTTGTTTATATGGATGACGTCATTACCCCAAGTATGGAAGTAAGAGATGGATTAGAAAAGCTTAAAAAAGTTTAAGGTGTTTGCAGGGAAGAAAGGTTTGCTCATTAATTTGTTTAAATGTCAAATCCTTCAAGAAAGTATAAACTTTTTGGGTTACATAGTGTACCTACTATGTAACTCCAAATGAGGAGAAAACGCAGGCTGTTTCTAATTTCCAAATACCTCGGAACGAAAAGGATATTCAGCGATTTATAGGGTTAACTTTATATTTTCGAAGGTGTATAGATGGCTTTGCAGTTATGGCAAAGCCATTTTCTGATATTTTGCGAAAGGATGCAAAGTTTGACTTTAAGGAGTTGCAGCACGTAGCATTTGAACAGTCAGCGTTAGTCAGGCCCAATTCTCAATCCCAGATTTGAAACAGAGATTCACACGGATGCGAGCAAATATCGATTTGTAGGAGTGTTGCTCAAGAAAGATATATATAATGATTCTTATGAATTGGAAGTACTTACTGTATGGGAGCATTGATAAAGTGGCGGGTGTTTAGTCATACGATTTAAAATTATAACAGATTGTAATTCATTTACAATGACTATGAACAAAAAAGAAATTCCTTTTCGTGTGGTCAGATGACGTGGTATTTACAAGATTTTGATTACCAAATAGAGCAGTGATCAGGGTCAAAAATTAGACACGTGGATGCGCTTAGTCGCGTATCATGTTTTGTGTTGACGGATAGTGTAGTGCATTGGCTGAGAAAAGCACATCTGAGAGACGCTTGGACTGAAGTTTTGCGGAGCATTGTGGAGGACAAAGGTCACGAATATTTCTATATGGAGAATAAATATTGTTCAAAGATCCGAATCGACAACTTATTGTCGTTCCAAGTCAGATGGAAGTAGAGATTATTCAAATTGCACATAAACAGGGCTATTATATACCAAAAATTAAAAGAAAAGGAGGAGCGTGTTGTCAGCAGTTGTGTTTAGTGCATTATTGTAAATTCAAAAGTTTGCAAAAGGGAAGGATTTCTGTTGCAAATAGATAAGGCAGATAGGCCATTGTCAACATATTGATCATGTTGGACCAATGGAATTGACAAACAAACGGTATAATAATATCATAGTTATTGTGGATGGTTTTTCCAAATTTGTATGGTTATATTCAACTCGAAAGACAGGAGCCGACGAAGTGATTTCGCTGCTTCGAAAGGCAAGCTATTCTGTTTGGAAGTCCTGAAAGGATTATCTCAGATAGGGCAACCGCATAAGGGCACGTTTTTAAGGAGTATTGCGAGAAGCAAGGCATAACACATTTACTTATAGCTACCGGAGTACCACGTGGAAATGGCCAGGTAGAGAGGATGCATAATTTAGTCGTACCCATGCTGTCTAAATTAAGCCATCAGAGTCCTGAAAATTGGTATAAACATGTAGAAAGAGTACAGAAAATTTAAGCAATAACGGCTACGTAGGCGCATACGGAAACGCCACCATGCTTAAGAATTCCACAACTCTACGAAATGACGTATTAGGCAACGATGAAAAAGCTCTCTCTCATTATTATTATTAAACTTAAATAATATATTGGAATGCTATATAAACTTGTCTACCCTTTATTGCTTCGGAATATATTTAACACCCGTGCCTCAACAAAAAGGTTATCTGCTCTTCAGACATTTCCTCACATCCACTAGGATCTTTTTGTCCCCAGCTATAAAAAAAATTGAGTTCTCAAAATTTTTTGACACCGAAAGAGGCTGATAAAGCCTTTTAGAAATACTTTCTTCTGAGTGCCAAAAGTGCTGCGAAAATAAGGTAAAATTTTTTAAAATAGGGTTTAATTTTCCTTTACAATATTGTTATAAACGATAAAACTATTTTTAACCACCCAGAGTTCGTTTTTTCATGGTTAGGCCAGAAACTTATAGCCTTCAGGGCGCGCGCTACGCGGCATCGTGGCGGGCGTTTACAGGGACGGCGCGTGGTTGGGGTTTGGACGGGTACACATTTGCAACGAGCGCGTCAGGATGGACGGAATGCCATATAAATATTCAACTTCATGGTTGGGGGCCTCATGCCCCGAGTCGCCCAGCAGGCTATGGCATCGGGGGCGAATTCATATGATAATATCAATCAGTTTCAGTATTTTTTTAGCTTTATGTAATTTCACCTTTTTGCCACATACATTTTTAGCGCCTTGTTTGCTACATTTTGTTGTTATTAGTGGTGTAGTTGCGCTGATGGGTACCATGCCCACGACCGATAGGCGCACTGATCGACACTGACGCAACTTTTGCCACCACTAGGGCCCAGCAACCTATGTAACGCGCCGCGCGCGGCAGACGCGCCCCAGGTACGGCCATAAATAGCAGCCTACGTTGTAACAAAATATAGATGGTGCTACGTAGTAACAAAATATAGATGGTGTTAGTTAGATAGAGTCTTGACAGTCTGTTTCAAAGATATATGTATATTTATTGGTCGTCGAAATTAAAGGGTAAATAAACTAAGGTGTGCGACTGCTTACCATTTTTCGCCCTTCTCTTCACACATTCGAAGAATGGAAAACATAATCCGGAGTTTATTACTAGGAATTATAGATTCCAAATCTGATTTTGTCAGATACCTGCGCCACCAATCATTAGTTACAGACATAACACCAGTTTGACTGTCATAAATGTCATCTGGTTGATCTTCCTCAGAGTTCGGACAATTGAGTCTTTTTGTATCTTTTTTGCTTCTTTGCTAAAAATATATGGTTAGCTAAAAAATGATTATAATGTAAACAATACGTTTTTTACGTACGATAGTAGCATTTTTCCATGCGTCCTCTAATACCTTAGGATGTGTCCATATCTAAGGAAGGAAGTTATAATCATATATCTTAGAATTCATAATAACTTTACCTTTCTTAAAACCGTATAATCTGTTATCAGACTTTTGCCTCGACAGTCGCCACGATTTCCTATTGCTTCCAATATATGTTCATAAAGTATATTCTATAAAGAAATTCGTTATCACCTTCTTATTAATCTTATACAAAATATAACGAGAAGGAACGTATCAGTCGTTCTGTGGACGCGACTCTACTTTTATACCCGTACTCAGTCAATGTGTGCTTATGACTTGTGATTTGTGTGCGAGCGAGACAGAGAATAAGTAGAGTCTGCTGCTCCGGAGAAGGTAGGGAACGCAACTGAAAATTAATTTCTTCATTCTGGCTATAATAATGATCCTATCTGATTTCGATTCGCAATCTGGTAGATATGGTCATTCAATACGATACTGCGCTTTTAGTTTTATCGTATTGTAAGGTCCTATCTCAGGCTGAGGTATGCTTCAGTCTGTCCAGGGTCCTCTACAAGAAAATTTGTAGATTGGAGGAGAACTTCAGGTTTCGAGCTGGCCTGATATACAGTAGGCAAGGGAAGAAATGATGGTGCGGTGGTTTTTGCTTTTGTGGTTCTTGGTTGATTTCTTTATTCTTTCATTCACTTAATTCTTCGGGGGCTTGTTTTCAATTGATTACTCGCGAATCTTGTTACTTGGCCTGTGAGCCGGTGGACTGCTTAGTCAGTGTCTCGTGTTCGGGCTGATGGACTGCCTGCTCTTTCGGCCGATCTTGGCCCTTTTATGCAGCTGACGATCGCACCTGAGATCCGAAAATAATTAATTCTTGCTGACTTAAGGTTATTGGATAACAATAATTGTGGGGTGTGGTAACTAGGTCGAAGCTTGGTGCTTCGTTGACAATTTTTAGTGGGCCAGGGTGGTTTAGCTGAGGCTGAATCCCGGAAGGTGCAGTTGGGAACTGGGTTTCGAAATGAGGTTTTGGCAACTCTGCGAAATAATGCAGAATGTGTAGAGGTGTTTGATCAAGAGTTCTTAATTTTAATAAATGCGTGCGTTGCCTAAGCCTATTGTATTTCCCGGGGTGCTGACGCACCGCTAGTTGTGAGGAGAAACTAGCCAGAGCCATGGTTCGGTGTCTCTGCGTAAATCAGTTTGATGGTTGTTCCCGAACGGCGTAGATCCGTTGCCACTCCACTGTTTGTAACGAGACATGGCTAGAGCCATGATTCGTTACAGTATATTTAAAAATATCCATTGTGGGAGCGGGGTTAAATTTTGAAATACACTTGTAGCAATGTGATATCACATGAGACTGGAAACAAAATTTGATTTCTCTAGCTCTTAAAGTCTCTGAGATCTAGGCGCTCATCAAGACGGACGGACAGACGGGCGGACAGACAGACATGGCCATATCGACTCTGCTACTGATGCTGATCATAAAACTTATGCTTTATGGGGTCGGAAACGTTTCCTTCTCTGCGTTGCACACATCCACTTTCACCACAAATACAATATACCCCATAACTCTTCGAGTACGGGTATAAAAAGTGAGTACTCGTATACATTTTAAAGCTAGGATTATTTTTAAAACAAATCTATTTATTTTTTCAGTACTGTAGTTTCACGATATATTTATATATGCAAAGTTTATTGTGGTGTATATTATGCGATTTAGCGGCAACAGATTTAAATCTATCAACAGATAGAAGGGAGACGTTCAGATCCAATCTCGTCATAGTCCAGCTTCTCAAGCTCGTTGTGCACAGTTTTAAAATTGCCTTGCAGCTCCTCGATCTGATTAAGCTTTCCAATGAGCATGAAATATTCAAACAGCGATTGTTCTTCAAAGTATGAGTTTGATGTCCAAGTATTCGTTCCGGGGGTACCAAGGTGCCCAAATATTGGTTCTCAGAATTCTGGACTATGATCACTGGATATTGTCGATGTTGCTTCTGCTTGCGTTGCCCTATAACTCACAATCATAAGTCCTGATTGGTTTCAACATGGCATTGTACAGGAGGAATTTATAGTCTAAGTTAGAGAGCGAGCGTTAATTAGCCAGTGGAGCTTACTTGCTCTAATTTTAAGATGCCCCTTATTGGCTTCTATGTGCTTGTACCAGGTAAGCCGCCTATCCAGGTGGATGTCCAGGTATGTTATATCGTCAGCTTCCGGGGTGCTTGCATTGTTCGGAACCAAAGGGGTCATCATTGTTTGTTAAGACTAAAAGTTAGATACAGGGATCTTTGGTGAGTTCCCTACAAGAGAGTATTAATCCGCTCCAGAAGCTTCGTAAAAACGGTCGTCAAATCCATTGGTTATAATATTTATTTCTATTATGCATGTATTTCTTAAAGGTACAATTGATACAAGTTTATTACGACGATGCGCACACCCAATACATGTCTTCGCGCTTCCGAAGTCAAACTCTTACTTTTCTATCGATATACTCATTTAAGCTATCCTGAACTGTCCATATCGATAGCACTACTCGAAAAGATTTTTTTCTCAAGTATTAAGCTTTCATATGCAAAAGTTATGCTTGTGCCGTATTTTTTACGAAATTTTTACTTTAAAAATTCAGGAAAAGTAAAAAAAATATATATTATGGGTCTTTTTTTTTGTGTACAGGTGCATTAATTCGGCGTCGTCTAAGGTATTGCTCATTAAAATGAGCAACTGCGGATCTAAAATTGTTTTACCAAACCTCCGAAAATTACATTTTACCGTTTTACCGTTGCTGGCACAACAAGCAAAGCTTGTTGTTTGTGCCGTAGAAAAAAAAACATAATTATTTAAAAAAATTTGAAGCCCCAAACTATCAGAAAAGGTCGGGTTGGTTCCTTGAGGAAAAAAAGTTCGAGTTTGTCGAGTAGTGTAGTAGGATAATCGCTGGTTAAAGGATTGCCAACCCTACATTCGGCCGTCCTGACTCATTATTCGACTCGAATGATTGAGACCACATCTTCATGTATTCCGCCATCGTATTGGTCTTTAAAGCCCCTTTACCATCCACTTTCTCAACAATATACCTGCCGCGTATACGCGTATAAGGACCTAAGAATTTTCCCTTCAACTTAAATCCGGCTCCAAATTGTGTACGCTTGATAGCTACCATATCATTGACTTGGTATTCGCTTTCTGTTTTACGGAATTTGTTGATTGACTTGCGATTTTCATTTTGTTTCTGTGTTATGTTCTCCTTCTTCCCTAATAAGCTTTTCTAATTCACTGTCATGTTTTGTCCTCATATTAACGCCCGTCGAATCCTTAAATGGGGATATCTTAGTACTTCTCGGAGGAGTGGAGTTTATAAACGATTGTACCCTACCAACAAGGCTTTCGGATTGTTCATGCCGAAAAGCATGCACCATGCGCCTACCCAAAATGAAGCAACTGCAACATCCAACACAAAAGCTCAAGAGAACTGTTGCTGGCTGCGACTTACGAGCACGAAGGTATGTTAGAGTTAAACTTGCAATGTTAAGTTAGTTTTACGAATGAACTGAAGAGAGAAGTTCGCATTCCGAACGAGATAACCCCCATTAAAACCGAACACATCTATCAAAGCGGAATTTTAAAAGATTACTGGCAGTAACTCCCACCACGAACGAACATTGATTCTTTGAGCCGGATACCTACACACATTGGATTTTTCTACAAAATAGGCCATCCCCTAATCCGCTCGCCCAGCTTGCTCCAGAGAATCTGCCAGCTAAGTCCTAAAATTCCAATTAATCATTGGTATCTGTGTGTTTCTGTTTATGGTGTGTGGAGGAAATCTATAGAAAGAAAAGTGTATATGAAAACAAAACAAAAAACGAGAAAAAGGCAAAGGGCGAAGAGGACAAGAAGGACCGCCATTTTTCCATAGATGTACATAAATCAACTCTCCAAGTTTTGTCAGCCTCATCGAACCTAGAACTTCGAACATAGTGGATCGAACCCAACCCAGAACCATCGAGCCGATCGCATCGAACGTACTTCAACGGACTAACATACATATGTACATACATATTTACATACATTGATTTTTCTGCGATTTTCTTATCCAAATATACCCACAGTTTTTTTCCTATCCAAAAACACACACAGTTTATATCAAAAAAGCCTTCGCAAACAAAATTCAAGCGCTTGTTCATTTTTTTGTAATCCGCCACACCTAAATGCTTGCATGCTCTTTATTAACGCAAGATATTGAAATCCGAAACCTAAAACCAAACCAATTACATGCATAAATAACCCGTTACGCACATACATACTTATATTTCCAATTGCAAGCAAAGCATACAGCGCACTCGCCAACGCATAACGCATATATGTACATACCTATGGACGGTTATTCCAAAAGACGAAAAAGTTCAGATTCACGTGTCACTCGTACCGTAACAAACCAGGTTTCTGAGTCCAAAAAATTGTTTTTAGTCGCTGCATCAGACCGTCTAAGTAAATTTGAGGCAAAATTTGCCAATCCATCCTTCGTGGAGGTTTCGCTCTTCACTCTTAAGATCCGTCTGGAGGAAGTAATGGGAAAAGGTACGGGTAAAATGTGAGCGCTGCAGCAAGACTCTCAATTTGCCTGAACCTGACAGCGACACGATTCACTCTATCAACGCGAAATATGACCATTGCTATGCAGTTTATGAAAAATTGTGCAGAATGCGGCTCCTGTATCGGTACCTAGTTTCCAGCAACGAGGCTACAGGCTACCACCCCTTGAAACCGAGGTGCTCTCCGGCGATTATCTGAAATGGCCCATGTTCCGGGACCTATTCACTGCTATCTACACGAACAATTCAAGTTTATGGCAGGTGGAAAAATTATATAAAATCAGCCAAAAATCAGCTCCCGAATGAGGGTTTTGAGTCCGCATGGTCCGCCCTCACAAAGCGCTTTGAAAATAGAAGAACGCTAGTTAATATCCAGCTGAAGATCCTTTTCCCCCTATTCACAAAGTATCCGGAGCTGCTTTGAAACATATCAAGAGTGCTGTCCAAGGATGCCTGACGGCCCTTGAACACTCCGAAGTGACCATTAATAACCGCTTCCGGACGGCGTGCTGATGTTCGTAGTTTCCTTCAAGTTGCCGCAGATAACCTTGTCACTGTGCGAACAATCTTTACCAAAGTTCAGCGTCAAGACGCGA